TATCTATCTATCTATCTATCTATCTATCTATCTATCTATCTATCTATTCTTCGCCTTGTTGGTGCGGAGGCTCGCTTCTCCCTCTCCTTGAGGTCATAGCAGGCGCTGGCGAATTGCAAAGGGTTCCTCGTAAATTAGCTGCAGATCGCAGAGCGGGGACTTTGCGTTCAGTTGTAGCCTTGAGCGCCGGGTTACCCGTAGCTCTGCCAGGGAGGGATTACGCCCCGCAATCCGGCCGGCTCGCTCTCGCTGAGGTGGGGCGGAGGTGGGATATGGGTCCCTACTGCCGCTAAGGCTCAGCTAGAGGTAGCGCGGCTCTTGACTCGGCTTGCTCGGTTTCTTCCTTCCGTTTGTTTTGCTTCGCTGGCGATTTCACCTTTTGTGGAGCTGGGCGAAGGGACTGATCGGACCCCGCCTCTGGGGTTTAGACGGTACCCAGAATCAACCTGGTTTTCAGGCGCGTCCTTGGATGGACTCGGTAAAGGCAGACGGAGAGGCTGGAAAGAAAAAGGATCCGGAACTCCTTCTTTCCTGCCAGATCCCTGGCAAGTAGCGTTGGGTAAAACCAGGCAGGGCCTGGCGTTTTCCGAAAGGACTTGCCTGTTGAGTGACATCAGCTTCTGAACTAAAGCCCACTATGTCAGATACAATAAAGCAGAATGGGTGTCTTTTTCTCTTTCAAGACGAAACAGAGGTTGGGGGTGGGAAGAGAAGAAGGGGAGCGATCATGTTAAAATGACAACTTTCTAGATCCAGTCCCGAAGGGGGAAAGGAAAAAAAAACCACAAACGCCTAATTTCCTTAATTTCACTGCGATTTCTCCTCTTTCTCACATCCCACATTGTCTTCTCTTGCTGCCTCCTTTTGTTACTCGCTTCTTCGTCAACGGATTAAGATTAAAAACTGGTTTCCGTTGCCATTGGCTGCCTAGGATTAAAAGCCTGTGTTGACGGTCTCGTCATTTGCATATGACATTGTGACGTCACCAAGGCCAGCCCTTTCCACTCTCCCTCCTCCCTCTCCCCACCTACGCATGTTGAAGCTGTCCTCTTTTGACCTGGGTGGATGGGCTGTCATGTTTTTGGACTGCTGGAGTTTCGGGCCTGGGCCTTTGATAATTGGATGGCAAAGGCCTGCGGGGAGCAATGTCACCTTTTTAATCTGGTATAGATGGAAAAGCAGGTTTGGCAGCGGTATCAAGTAAAAGACAAGTGAAAGGCTGAGGAGGATTGACATCAAGATCAACTTATCTTCATTACGGACAGCTTTGCAGGGTGGTTCATATTTCAGTTCGTACTTTAGCAAGCATAATTTAGCAAGCATAATTTAATGATAGTGGCTGGCAAGTCAAATCTTAGATGCATTGCTAAAATGGGATCTGCAAATGTGGGGTTTTCAGAAAGCTAAAGGAAGTATGGGTGTGAAAATTTGGATATAATTAATCATGGCTGGTTTAAAATGCGACATTGCCACAATTAGTATCAGAGTGAAAATTACGCTGGCCCTATTTGTATCTTTCCGGCTTAGCTGAAATAGAATTCTTTTAATAAAGTTGCCTGTCCATGACAAGTCATGGTAAATGGGTAATTTGAAATTTAGGCACACACATTTTATAAAACTATGAACTATAACCTGCTCTGAATCAGAAAATTACTTATGTTCTATTATTTGGCATACTTTCAATGGCACAGAGAAATAGCTACGACTCTAAAATAAATAAATAAAATGAATAAATAAATAAATCCTATTCCACTTACTCTTATTCAGCAGTCCTTACAGTGCCTGAGATTTCCATGGGCATTTCCTAATCACATGTCTTGTCTTCATCAGGAACTTAAAAAGTTATTTTACATTTACACAGCACTAGGTCTGAAATCATGATTCTTACTCTGTGTGAGAGGAAAGCAGGGGAATAGTTGTGTTTATATTCAGATGTCATTGTTACGCTGAATATTGTTTAACCAGTAAGAATGCATTCCTGAACTGAAAAACCTTTTCATCTCTGCATTGATTAAATAATTAAGCAGATGTTTTTGATTTTGATATTCTGTCTGAGAATTATTGGAATCAAATTCTAGCACATCTGAAAGAACAGATTCAGAAAGTCCGAAGTGTAACTTCTAAAATGCAGCCATATTAAAATAGTCTAGGTTTTGATGAAATGTCAACATTTTTGACATGTTTGATTTCATATATATCAAGCATCATATAGCAGGAGTGTCAAATTGGCGGCCCATGCGCTGGATGCATCATGCACAGGCCACACCCACCCCAGCTCCGCAAATGGGAAAAACATCGCAAAATGTCATGTGATGCCGTGAATTTGACACCCGTGCTCTATAGTGTTCATTTGATCTGGCTGCCATCTGTTTTTATAGCACAGGATTACATATGATTCCAAGATGTGTAGTAGATGAACTAAGAATGCTAAGAGATCTGGCAATACATTAATTGCTATATTAAAGTAAACCACTTGTGTAATAAAAGTATAAACATTTTAAATTTTCCTCTGCAGCTGTGTAGACTAGAAAAGTACTCAGAAGTTCATCTGTATCCATGAAATTATGAATGATGGATTTGGACACACCAGGTATCTCAAAGATGAACTGTAGTTGTAAACTGTAAATGTAGAGTAGAATTTCTATGACATTACTCATGTTCTTCTAGCTATGGAGTTCTGATCCATCTCATTTTAAGAAAAATATCTTATCTGAAATAGACAAAGATTGTAAAGTCTATTTCTTGATATAAGAAATACAGTTGAGTAGAGACACCAAAGTGAGGGTGAAGCTAGTTTTTTGCATTAACTGTCCTATCTGAATAGAAGCTGATGAAGTCCACAAAGATCATAAGCACATAGTATTTTTATGCTGTAACAATGACCTTATGAGTATTCTTAGGTATGTTTTGTAAAGTTTTCCTTGGCAACCATTAGTGGCCATTCGGCTCTGAAGCTTCTCTTAAAAAGTCTTAGTTCTAAAAAGAAAATTGGTTTAAAGACTCTGACTTGGCTGATTACCAAAACAAGATCTACCTGTTTCTTTCTGTATCATTCTGTACCCATCCTATGTTCTTATCTAACAAGATAATTTTGGAAAGCCTGGGCTTCATAAAACAGGACTCAGAAAAAGAAATAAGCTATGGCTTGATATGTTCAAATCAATGTACAACCCGTTGAAATTATGAAATGAATTTCCAATAATGCAGTAGAGGAGAAATCCAGAAGAACACAATGCTAGCACTTTTTTTAGCGTTGGTATTGATGTCATCTTCCAGAGCACAAGAGTATCGTAATGGATAGAATTCGGCTGCTCTATCAATTGAAGGAGGTGATGACAAGGTCTTAAAAGCATTAGAGTCAGATTATATAGAACAAAAATAGACAATGCAGTGTCCACAGCATATCATACCCAGTTCTTTCTTTGGTCCTCATCAGGCTCATAGTCTTATCTAACTTGTAAAAGATTTTAAAAACAAAAGTAAATAGAACAGTGGCTCATTGTCCCACCTGCTAGCCTCATATTTATTTCCTGAAGTGATTTTTTGGGGAGCTATAAGTGTTGGAAAGCTAGAGAGCATGCTGAGAGGCATTTACTTTCTGATAAATGTAGAAATATAGAGATATAAGTGGCCACATTTCTAGCATAATTATTTTGTGATTAGGTAAGTTTCATATAGCAGCTATTTTATAAGTACAGGTAGTCCTTGACTTACAACAGTTCATTTAGTGGCTGTTCAAAGTTACAACAGCACTGAAAAAAATGACTTACGACTGTTTTTCACACTTATGATCGTTGCAGCATTCTCACCGTCATGTGATCAAAATTCAGATGGTTGACAACTGAGTTAAAGTTATGATGGTTGCAATGTCCCAGGATCAGGTGATCACCTTTTGAGACCTTCTGACAAACAAAGTCAATGGAGAAGCTAGATTCACTTAACAACGGTATTACTAACTTAAAAACTGCAGCAATTCACTTAACAACTATGGCAAGAAAGGTCGTAAAATGGGACAAAACTCACTTAACATTTGTCTCACTTAGGAACAATAAGTTTGGGTTCAATTGTGGTTGTAATTTGATAACTACCCGTGTGCCTAATGCATTTTCACAAAATTCAAAATATGCCCTCTGCCAAAAATGTTGCCTATTAAATACAGAACAGATCAATAATTTTTAAAAAATTAAGATGCATGAATACAGACTTCTTTTTCTTTGATATAATTTATTCTTGTCTCTGTTTAAAAATTAACCCTTCTTTCCAATCGTGAGCGATTGGATTTCTATTAACTGAATTACTTTTCTTAAAACTTTACAGTTTCTATACATTCATATTATGCAGTTCAACACCCTGAACTGTCAGGAAAGTGTGTACAGAATTCCAGCCACTTGTGTGGTACTGCTACTCTTGATAAGGAATCATTATGTAAATATTTAAGATAAGCTCCTGTCCTCCAAAGTTGTT